CCTATGGGAATCGGTTATAACGAATCTTATAGATAAGTTTCGAAAAATATTTTTCGAAACTTATCTATAAGATTCGTTATAACCGATTCCCTAAAAAAACGTTAGTTAACGTTTTTTTAATAGTTTTGAAAAATAATTTTTCAAAACTTACCTATGGGATTCGTTATACCGATTTTCTATAATAGAATTAAAAAAAAACGTTAGTTAACGTTTTTTTAAAAGTTTCGAAAAATATTTTTCGAAACTTATCTATGGGATTCGTTATAACCGATTCCCTATAATAAAATAATAAAAAAACGTTAGTTAACATTTTTTTAATAGTTTTGAAAAATAATTTTCGAAACTTACCTATGGGATTCGTTATAACTGATTCCCTATAATTGTATATTAAAAAAAAAGAGTTTTGAAAAATTTTTTCAAAACTCACCTATGGGATTCGTTGTAACCGATTTCCTATAATAGTGTATTAGAAAAAAAATGTTAAAAACGTTTTTTAATAGTTTCGAAAAAGAATTTTTCGAAATTCATCTATGGGATTCGTTATAACCGATTCCCTATAATTGAATAATAAAAAAAAATGAGTTTCGAAAAAGAATTTTTCAAAACTCACCTATGGGATTCATTATAACCGATTCCCTATAATTGAATATTAAAAAAAAGTGAGTTTCGAAAAATTATTTTTCGAAACTCATCTATGGGATTCGTTATAACCGATTTCCTACAATAAAATGTTAAAAAAATGTTAAAAATCGTTTATTAATATCTTCAAATAAATGTTTTTTCAGTTTAATAAAGTTTCGAAAGTAAAATGTTTGAAACTTTTGTGGGATTCCGGCATCCAAATCAGAACCAATTTCCTAAAAAAAAAAATTTTTTTAAAAGTTTCAAAAGTAAATGTTTGAAGAAAATGTTAAAGATAGTATGAAATAGTTTAAACTTTTTTTTAAGTTTTAAAAATAAATGTTCAAAAAAAATGGTAGTGTAAATTTCAATAGTATAAAATAGTTTAATTTTAGTTAAAGAAAAATAGTTTATCAATAGTCTAATTGAAACAATAGAAATCAATCGGTAAATTTAAACTGAACGATAGTTATCAATCGGGTATTAACCTGATTGATACCCGATTGAAGTGTACACCAATTTCTAATTATTGAATAAATCAGGTGACCGATCAAAAAAAAAGTTACCAATCGGGTAGGTACCTGATTGGTTAGCGTTTTACCTGTACAATTAATTTAATCAGAATGCTAAAATTATACCATGAAAATCTACAAAAAGCACATACATGTTAGTAAAATCACAAACTTTAGTTGAAAAAAGTTTCAAACAATACATACCGTAATAATTTAATCTAAAACTCAAAGAAACCAGAATAAACTTACCTATTGTAAGTGTTAAAGTGTAATTATTAGAGAAAGAACACTTTGTATTTATTAGATTTAAAATTTTTGATAAAAAAGATTTTTTATTGTTCTAATAAACACTATTATGAAAATAATGGTAATACAAAAATATTTATTATAAAAAAAAAAGAAAAATAATTTGTGTAGAAAAAAATAATATAAAGAAAAAAACTAAATGAAAGAGCAGATAAGAGAGAGAGTAAGCGTAACGTTTATTTCGTGTGAAAAAAAAAAATGGTGGTAAATAAACAAATGAGGCTGATAATGATCAGCTGTGCCACAAGGTCTAAGATAAGAGGTCTGGACCCCCCAGGTCCAGAATAAGAAGCCTAAACCCCCTGATCTAGGTTAAGTTTTCTCTTTATTAATACATGCGAAAAATAAATACAAATGTTCAGGACTTTGCCTGCGATACATGAAGACTATGCTATTATTATACATGATTATTTTTTTGAACGATACCCCTCTATTCTAACCCTCTTTCTTTCCAGCTCATCCTCCACACACGCCCTATTCATTAACAAACCCACAATTATGCCCAAAACCTCTTTCACGCTATTACATAATGATTGGTATGACTATGAGTTTGGTTCCAAGGTCTTTCTAGAAAATTCGATCAAGTATGCAGTATCATTTGCCTTGGATATTTTTCCAGGACTATATAGAAGGAAGTGCCAGTCCTGACCTGTTGTGATGATACCATAGAGGTAATCAAAATCCTCTTCACCTGCTTTCTCTTCCTCTTGTTCGTCTCACATGCACTCTGAAGCTGTTTGATATTTTGTGCAAAGCCTAGGGGACCTTGTGCTGTTTATCTTCTGTAATACAGATAAGGTCTTCAGCTTCCTAACCACGATTTGCATAGATGTGTTAGTGTTAAGTTATCCCAATTATGACTGGAACTAGAGTAAAGCGGAAGTAACAAATTAAATTACCTTTATTGCATAATTGACCTGACCCCGACTTTCTTCACCAATTATTCCATACTGAGGTTTCATGCTAAGGTTTTTGTTTGTTATATCTATGACGATATGGATGCCAGCATGTAGAAGGGTCACAACGTACTCATTACGCATTGCCTCTAAGCTGTCAGATTGTAAAGTTCCATATGTACGCAACCTGCCCAAAACCTCTTCCATGCAACGCTTAAAGATCTTATTTTCATCCTGAATTTCGTAAGTGGGCGGTATGGAATCTATTCCATCAGAGTCATACCTATATTCCGCCAACACTTCACTTAAGCTAAGGTATGAGGAGAACGCACGCTTCAGCTTTTCTTTGAAGGTCTGGACCTCTTTTGCAAGTCTCATGGCAGGGCCACCTTTTAAACTATAACTATGAAATTTTCTTTGGTCATGTCAAGAAAGTCTTGGCCAGTAATCTTTTCGTTGCAGAGTATTTCCAAGTCATCGTCATTGAGCTTGAGGTTTTGCTCTTTCAAAAAATCGATAAGGGCTTCTGTATCCTAGTTCTCAACCGTGTTCAGCTGTTGAGGTAGACATAGCGCTTTTTATAGGTAGTTTGGCTCAGATAAAAAATAGTGTTACCTACGTTTTAGAGTGAGATAAAAATTTATTTCTGTTCGAGAAAAGAAATTACTGGGCGTTAATATAGGCTTTTATATCACACAGGCATTGAATCATTTCACGTGACACATTTCTCTTATACATCTGATAAAATAATACTTTATTTATGAAATAACATTGCCAGAAGGGTCCCAGAGGGACCAAGCCAGCCTACAATACATAAAAATTGGCTGTGAAGGCACTTCGTATGACTATATCGCTATATGGTATAAGAAAATTATTCTGACTGGGGTATACAGTGAGATTATATAGAAAAGATGTTATGTATAGACACCTATATACGGGTGTGATGGAAACATGTACTGTATGGATTCCTATGTATATATGTATGGTGATCAATGTGAGTGATACGAATAGTAGTAGAGTATGGTGGAGGTGTTGAGTAGAGTATAACGTGGATGTGACATTATACTCAAGTGATAAATAAACACCTCGGCCTAAGCTCAGCCCAGCGTTTTGGCCGGGTGTCTATTCATCACTTGAGTATAGTTCACACCCTTTATGTTACACACCGCTAAACATCACAATACTCTACTCAACACACCAGTCCTACTCTACTACTTTTCGTCTTACCTGATCAATGTATGGTATACGGTGTACTTTTCATACATACATACTTTTTTATTAAATTATATAATTAGAGAAAACGTATAGTGCCCGAAAAAAAGTCAGTAACTACGTAAAAAATTAGCAATTAGTTAGAAAAGTTTACCATTAAGTAAACCTTTTTTCATAATAAATAAATCACCTTTTATAGATTAAGTAGAATTGTGCGTCATAATGAATTACATTTATCCTAAAATTTTTAAGCTAATTAAATTTAAAATGAATTATATAGTGTAATTTTTATTTGAAAATTTTGTATTTTTATAATAAATTTTCAACTATAAATAACTGTTAAATTTTTTAGTCTTAATATGTTGTGATTAATTAAGAAAATTTGTTGGCCATGTTAAAAAACATGGAGTCCGTAAAATTTCAGGTTAACTGGATTTATATTTGTTAAGTTCGCTTTGTTTAAATGCAAAATTTCGTGATGAATCACGTGATTAAAAATCATTTCTATCTAGAGGTTAGATAAATAAACGGGGGCCAACTCATAAGTTACACATACATAAGGTTGCTTGCCGAAACCTAGGGGTTTAGGCTAGATGGCGTTTTGCCGAAAAGCGAAATTCTGCCGAAACTATATTAAAGTTATATTAAAAAATGAGCGAAACTTTGGAGAAAGGCGAAACTGCCGAAACTTATTATAAATGCCGAAACTGCCGAAACTCTGCCGAAACTATAATAAATCTATAGTAAAATTTTGACGAAACTAATCGTAGGATTTTGAAGAGGTTTAGACAAGCAACCTTACACATGACATACAGGTCGAAATGCTAAAAATCGGCAAAAAAAATGGTGCAAAAAGCAGTAGCTATTCTTGGCTATTCTTGGCTACTATTCTTGGCTGTTTTTGGTTATTTGCGAATTAACCTATACTATTTGTAAATAGTTTATATAAATTTGCAAATAGTTTATGCAATTTTAGCCATTTTTTTGCCTGTTTTTGGTCATTTGACGTGTGACAGCCTGATCATTACCGCTAGAATTAATGCCTCAAAAAGTTGTTACACAAATTAAACGTATATATTAAAATGTGTAAAAATTTTACTTTTTTCTGATTTTTTTGACACACGTACATAGAAAAGCAGCTAATCCCACAAGTTAAGTTTGTTCATGCTAGCTATATATAGGTGAAGTATTTTTACTTATATTGGGGCACTGTAACTTTTATAAATGTTGTTTTCTTTTTTAAAATAAGTTTAATTTACTTTATTATATTATTTAACGTATTTACAGGACACTATTTGTTAATTTTATTGTGAATTTTTAGAAAAATAATAACTGACAGCAAATATTTGTCCTTTTGATATAGCTTCTTTGGAGAAAAAAGTACCTTTTTTCAGGTGTTTCAAAATCAAAGGTATTAAATTCTTTTTCCTTTTATTATTTATATTATCTCCAAATGCCCAAAGTAGCCATTGTAATTCATTCACTAGAAATATTTTTGAGAATAATTCTTCATCAATATCCAACTGAGCCTAAATTTGAAGTTGTGTCAATCCAAGTATGGGGTCTTTTGGAATGTTAGATTTCTTTATAGACGTTATATTTTTGAGTTTTGAATTTTAAGTATCATTACGCATAGTTTTAAGATTCTCTTGAAGACTTGTGATGCCTTTCTCAGGAACAAGATCATTAAATCTTCACCAGGATTTTTGTCTACTTTTCATATAAATGGAAATAATCCGCTCATAAAGAAACTTTTTAACATCATCTTTCAATTCTTGCTTTTCAGTGTTAATAGGTTCATACATAGAGATTAGCTGACTGGAAATAGTAAAAAGTTCGTTAAAACATTCTAATAATGGTTAGTTACATAATAAACTATTGTGTATATCATATTGAAGAATATTGGGACCGAATTCCTTATGCTTTTCAAATAATAATAATATTAATGATTTCATTTTATATATAAATTCTAGAAATTCACGCCCTGGAATTACATTTGTTATTTGAGATCGGACATCCTGCTCATAAACAACTTGTTCTGAATTTAGAATCTTAAGATGAGTACAAATGGTTTCAAATTCAGAATGTGATCTTGTTATATTGTCATTTTTGGTCAACTTATATATAATCTATCCAATGATATAAGAGAATTTTAAAGCTTCTTTTGATTTTAAACAATAATTTTTCAGGCATTAAATGGTCATTTGCCAAAAGATGTTTTTGGGAATTATTTAATAATGTTGTTTTACTAAATGTAAGTTTAATTACTTTTTGTAAAAGCAAATATGCAATGAGTCTTTGAGTTGAAGAACCATTTGAATTAGTCGCATCAGTGTCGCATCAAGAAAGTCATGATACCAATTTCCTGAGCATTGATAGTTGTTAAGACAACTTTCAAGGTGAGAACTCCAATTAGCTAACCATTGAATTTCTGTCTTTTTTGGAATCGCCTTACAAATTTTTTTAATAATATCTTGCCATTTTTGTAGCAATTTATCAATAGAATTCTGATAAAGAATGGTTTCTATAAGAATTTGTCATTCATTTTGATGGTGAAAAATTCTATTGTTTTCCTGTTTAACATTTTCATTATGTGATTCCAATAGAATCTTAATTTTTCCCATAATTAAGTCATCTGCAAGAAGGTTTTCAAATACGTCATGAAAAAGAGATGACAATTATGTTAAGCAAGTAAAATGTTTTTGATAATAATCTTTATTTGTTGATCTTTTTTTATCTTTTTGATAATCCCTAATTGTAAATAATAAATATTTTTAAATAAAAGATAATAAATATTTTCATGCATAAATATTAATCTATAATAAATTAATTATTTTAGGATTTTATATCATTCCTTATCTGATAATATTTACATAAGACTATTCGGTTAGAAAGAAAAATATATAGTCAGTTTTGTCTATTGAATTTATTTTTAGTTTCACAACATTCCATATTTAATTATATTTACATATAGTAAATTTTATTTGAAAGAAAAATATATAGACTTCCCCAGTAGTTTTAGCGAATTATTTAGAAAAATTTGCTTTCGTTTATTTCATCATTCTGTATCCGATAGTATGTACATACAGCTTTTTTAATAAAGAAAGAATCATACATGCACGTTATTTATAACGTGTAGATAAAGGAAGAAAAGCGGTGCGGTATTAGCGGTAAAGATAAAAAAGCTAAGTTACATAGTAAACGCACTGAAGTGGGTGTTAAAAATGTTGGCTGTAATATGTTAGAAAGTAATTGGAATAAATGGAATGATTTGGCATTCCATCGTGGCAGTCATTGGGCAAATTTTTAGGTAGATCATGACAGTCACCTTTGAATTTGAGGTCGCATCATGGTTTTTAACAATGATGTGATCGTTTAGGTGACAGGTCGACTTGTTCTTTATGAAAAGTAGTCTTGTTTCATAATGCTTAATTCTTATATGTATTTGTTTATCTTATAT